AATTATAAAAAAAAAAAAAAAAAAAAAAAAAGCAGCTACTATATCTGTATTACACATGTTGAAGAAGTGATAAGAAAGAGGGAACATGTTAACTAGAGACACAAAAAGTATTTTAAAAATACAAATTAAACTTTTAGATGTGAAAATTACAATGTCTGTGATATTTAAAAAATGCATTAGATAGGATTAACAACTGATTAGATATGGCAGAAAAAAAAATAGCAAACTTTAAGACACAGCCATACCAACTGAATGGTAGGAGAGAATTTTCCAGGTTCTGGTTTATGGATATCAGAAACATGATCACAAAGTAATAAAACTGATTTACTGACCCACTATTTCAAATACATATCCAAATGAGCACCATTTCATGAAAGTAAGTCATGTGAAAAGACTACACATTTATTCTAATTATTTTGCCATTGCTCAAAACAGTTTGGAACTTCACTTTCTAAATTTACTTCAGAAATAATTTATTTATAAATGTAAGATAAATTTATTACTGTATTATCAGACTATAGTTTGAGCAAGATCTGTATTATCTAGCCGAATCACTCACCTTATTCATAAAATTATGGTCATTTCAAAAAATCAAATCCACCCCTTAAAGATAAAGATTTGCCACCAATAAGGATATTCTAAAGAAAGTGCCAGCCTATGAAAGGCAATTCAGAAGAGTTCCAAACATGTTTTGCGCAATGGCATTGTCACTGCAATAAGTACTCAGTCCTATTCAAGTGACTTAGGAGAAAAGTCACTTTCATCATAAAATATGGGATTTTTAAAAGTAAATCTCATTTCCTTATGATAATTTTTAAATATTTATTTGAGCACTGCCTTAAAAAAATAAAACTTTATACTATATTATTTTCAAGGATGAGATAAAGAAAATGCTTTATTTTGGGAAAACTTCTCCATGTGAATAATAATCAGGAAAGGGTCCTACTTATATTCCTATGCCTGTATTAGATAGAAAACACCTATTTGGTATGTTTAAAAAAGTCTTCATGAGCTTATCAAACACTTACCCATGTCATTAACAAAGATGAAGAATAATAAGAAGATAAGTACATTGAATTTCCAAACATCAAAATGAAACAAAGAAGAACTGAAACCTGAAAAATTAAAAACAAATCCATGTTTTATAATTACAACATTACTACATATATATCATAATGTATACTTTATCTGGAGGATATGGTCATTTCTAATACAAATTTTATTTGGATAAAGAGAATGAATGAATCTGGGCTAAATGATAATAGAATTTCAAGTCATTACTAAATTCTAAGTATTAAAATTCAAGACCAAAAATTCTGTGTGGTAAAAATTTTTTTTTTCTTCATCTGCTACTTGGAACAAAGGAAAATAAAAATAACTCTGTTATTTCTATTGTTTTAATAATGGAGTAATCTGATAGGAAATATTTAGTTATAAATATTAGTTTCAGAAATCTTATTTTTGTTGGATTACTTTAGGATTTCTATCACTTATGAAGCTTCACTATCTTTTTATGTTTTTAAAAGATGTGTTTGGGAACTAAGATTTTTTTCAAAAATGAAACACCATAAAATTTCAGTAAGATTGTCATAATTAAGCAAAGTGCTAAAACTCTCAGGTTTGAGAAAGAAAAGACAATTTCAAAAGTAGTGACAATAAAATAAAACATAAAATTTAAAAATAAGTTTTAGAGAGTCCAACACATCTACAGTCTAGTTGGAAGCATAATCTTCTGTAATATGACATCTATAATGTACATTTCCAGTTTTCCTTCTGGATAGCATCAACACCATATGTATTAAATACTGTCAAAGCAAAACTAACTCATAAAACAATTAGTTATGTTTTATAAATTTCTAAGAACTTATTTTAAAATTTGACTTCTAAATATTAAAAATATTACCATGTTCATACAAATGATCTTCTGAAATTTGCTTGGCTCAATATATCCCACAACATACATGAGAAATAATGAGGCTATCTGAAATAACAATATAAAAAATAGTGAAAAACATCATAGAAACACTCCACTCTTCATAGACAAAGTAAATATAAGAGGAGAGTTACAGTTCTAATAATGATAGGCAAAGTAATTTAAACCAACCTTCACACTGAGAACCAGAATCACTGAAAAAAATATAAATACATATAAATAAAAATACAGTTGGGCATGGTGGCTCATGCTTGTAATCCTAGCACTTTGGGAAGATGAGGAGAGAAGACTGCTTGAGCCCAGGAATTTAGAACAGCCAGGGTAACATAGTGAGACCTTGTCTCTACAGAAATAAAAATAAAAAATCATCTGGGCATGGTGGAATGTGGCTATAGTCCCAGCTACTCAGAAGGCTAAGGTAGAAGTATCACCTGAGCCCAGAAAGTTGAGGCTGCAGTGAGCTATGATTGTGCCACTGCCCTTCAACTAGGTGACAGAGTAGGACCCTGACTCAAAAATTAAAATTAAAATTAAAAATATATGTATAAAAAGTCACATATTGGATGGGTATGGTGCTCACACCTGCAATGCCACACTTTGGGAGGCCAAGGTGAGAAGATTGCCTGAGACCAGCCTGAAGAACTTGGCAAGACCTCATTTATAAATAAATAAATAAATAAATAAATAAATAAATAAATAAATAAATAAAAGCTGGGCATGATTGTGCATGCCTGTAGTTCCAGCTACCTGGAAGGCTGAGGTGGAAGCCCAACAGGTTGAGGTTGTAGTGGCCATGAGCATGCCATGGCACTCCCACCTGGGTGATACAGTGAGACTCTGACTCAAAAAAAAAAAAAAAAAAAAAAAGAGTCACAAATTATGTACAAGATAAATTAAAAATCAGGAAGATAAAGCCAAGGAAAAGATAGAAATCTATACCAATGAGCATGACGTTTTGGGTCACTTTTCTCCCAGAGATGTCTGTCAATTCTAATTCCAACAGAGACAGAGGCCTGTGTGTTGAAAGGTAGTTGAGAGACCAACAAGCTGAGCAGGCATTTCAACACACTTAACAGTCAGGGCACACCAAGAAGGGGATGCCTTATAAATCCCCAGGCTTTAGTTTGGAGCTTTGACGGGCTATACTATAAGAGTGAACCAGAAAACTAGCATCCCTTAGAAAGACTGAAATCCACTTACAAATCATCTCAATTTGACTGCATGAGGTAATTCAAAATTGTTAGTGCTTTTTTTCTCACCTGCTGAAATGTAATCTCTGGAGGAAGTTAATATCAATTTAGCCTCAAATTAACTCTATAATTTTTCACGTATAATGCCTAGCACCACATCAAAAATAACCAAGCACAGGCAGAGATAAGACAATAGAAACACCTCTACAAATAATCTATTTATGTAAAATGTAAGACTGTAGATATGTTATGCATTGTGGGTCATAAACTATCTGTCATATATTCTTTTTCTACAACCCTCTAGAAATGTAAAAACCATTCTTAGCTTGGAGACTACTCGAAAACACATCTGCGATAATCATACATGTTTTTAAACTATGCTTGAAATGTTTGACAAAATAATAAATAGGATTGAAAACTTCAGAAGAACACTAGAAACCACTAAAAAATGGAAATTGTACAGCTAATATTATAATACTAAATATTAAGAAGTTACAAATGGGTTTAAAAGCAGGTTATACAGAGACAAAGAAGTGTGAATTTGAAGATAAGTCAGAGAAAACATCTAGAAGGAAGAACAAAGTAATAAAAAGATGAAAAATATATGAAAAACCACTAGTGATGCAGAGCACACAGCTTAAAAACCTAATGTTTTTATTCACATCTCGGGAAAAGAGAACAATATGTAAACTATTTTCAAAGGGACTGTACTTCATCAACAAGGGTACCTTCATAATGAACATTTGTATACCTAACCCTGAATTATGCCCTACATCATTACAATTAAAAATTTTTAAAAAATAAATAAAAACACAAAGGGTTTATAGCTGAGAACGTCTCAAAATGTATAGACAAAATCAAGCACTGTTTCGTGAAGTATTACAAATCCCCAAGGAGGGATTAATTTAAAAAGAAAGAAAACCACAAGCCTGACTATACAAGCACACTACAGTAGAAACAGCACAAAACAGAAGGAAAAGAGAAGAGTCTTAAAAACAACTGGAGATTAACTGACTTTAAGAATTATTATAAAACTACAGTAATCAAGACAGTATGGTATTAGAAAAAGAATAGTCAGATTAGTGGAACAAAAGAGAGCCCAGAAACAAGCCCATGCAAATACAGGCAACTGAGCTTTGACAAAGGAGCAAAGACAGTTCAATATAGAAAGGATAGTCTTTTCAGTGAATGGTGCAAACACAGACCTTATACCTTTCAAAAAAAAAAAAATAACTCAAAATGAAGCTTAGAACTAAAAGTGAAATGCATAAATAAAAAATTTCTAAAAGATAATATAAGAGAAAATCTAGATAACCTTGGGTTTTGTTGTAAGTTTTTAGATAAAATAGCAGTCACCATCTGTCAAAGACAAAATTGATAAACTGGACTTCATTAATAAAAAACTTCTGTTCTGCAAAAAACCGTGCTGGGTTTAGAACATGGTTTGTTGCCACCAAAACTCATGTTGAGGATTGCCCCCCAATGTGGTGGTGCTAGGAGGCAGTGCCTTTAAGAAGTCACTGGGTCTTTCTTGAGCAAGAACAAGTTGTTATAATGTGAGGTTGCATCTTGTGTTTGGTCTCTTTGCATATGTCTGCTTCCGCTTCTACTTCCTACTTCTTCTCCACAGCATGGGGCCTTCAGAAACTGACCTAATGCAGCCACTCAATCTTGAACTGCTAGCCACCAGAATTATGTACCAAATAAACCTATTTCCTTTACAAATTCTCTAGTCTTGGGTATTCCCTTATAATAATATAAAATGGGTTAAGACAGACACTGTTAGGAAAATGCAAAGACAAACCAGAAACTGGGAGAAACTTTTGCAAAAACACATATCTGTTAAGGGACTGGTATCCAATATATGCAAAGAATTCTTAAAATTCAACAACAAGAAATAAACAACTGATTTAAAACTGGGCAAAACACTAAATAAATACCTCACCAAAGAAGATATACAGATGGCAAATAAACACATGTAAACATATTCAACATTATATTCCATTAGGGAATTAGAAATTAAAACAACGAGATAAAACTGCTCACCACAGAATGGTACACTGACATAATTGCAAGTTTCTTAAAAAACTAAGCTTACTCTTACCATGCAATCCTGCAATTACACTCCTGGGTATTTTTGTCCCACTGAGTTGAAAACTTATGTCTACACAAAAACTTGTACATAAATGTTTACAATAGCTTTATTCATAATCACCAAAGACCGAAGGGAATCATAATGTCCTTTAATACAGCAGTCCCCAACGCTTTTGGCAAAGGGAACCCAATTTTGTGAACGACAAGTTTTCCACGGATCAGGGGTGAAACAAGTGCATTACATTTATTGTGTACTTTATTTCTATTATCATTACATTGTAATATATACCTAAATAATTACACAACTCACCATAATGGAGAATCAGTGGGAGCTGTGAGCTAGTTTTCCTGCAACTAGACAGTCCCATCTGAGGGTGATGGGAGACAGTGCTAGCATCACCGCCTGAGTTCCACCTTAGATCATCAGGCATTAGCTTCTCATAGGGAGCATGCAACCTAGATTCTTTGCAGGCACAGTTCACAATGGAGTTCATGCTCCTATAAAAATCCTATAAAATCAGTGGTGACTGATCTGACAGAAAGCAGAGCTCAGGTGATAATGCAAGTGATGGAGAGCGGCTGTAAATACAGATGAAGCTTTGCTCACTTGCCTGCCATTCACCTCCTGCTGTGTGGTCCAGTTTCTAACAAGCCATGAACTGGTACCAGTCCATGGCCCAGGCGTTTGGAACCCCTGCTTTAATAGGCGAATAAATAGACAAACCATGGTACAATCATACAACTGAATGTTATTCAGCAATAAAAAGAAATGTGCTATCAAGTCATGAAAAGACACAGAGGAATCTTGAATATTACTAGATGAAAGAAGCCAGTCTGAAAAAACTACATAATATATGATTCCAACTATATGACATTTTATAAAGCAAACCTATAGGAGTAGGGATTGTGGTAGGGCTGAATAGGTGAAGCACAGGGTATACTTTAGGACATTGAAACCACTTTGTATGATACTGCAATGGCGGATACATACCATTATGTATTTGTCAAAACCCACAGAACTAAACAACACAGAGAATGAAACAGTATAAACTATGGACTTCATTAATAATAATGTATCAATATTGGTTCATTAATTATAACAAGTGTTCCACACTAATACAAGATGTTGTTAATAACACAAAAAGCTGTGTTGGAGTTAGGGAATAAGGTGGAGAGTATAGGGAAAAAGCTAGGGAAAAAAGCAGAATCCCCCCAAAAAGCAACAAAGAGATATATAACTAACCTCTCAACAAAAGGAGTCAGAAGATAATGGAATGCATTTTTACAATACTGAGAAAAACATTTTTCCATACTTGAATTCTATATTTAGATAAACTATTCTCCAAAAATGAAAGTGAAACCAATATTTTCAGACAACAAGCAAAAATTGTCACCATACTAAAGGAAAATATTAATGAATCTTCTGTGGACAGAAAATAAAATATTCTATATGGAAGCTTGGCGATACAGAAGGATTCAAGTATAACAGAAAAAACAATCATGTGGAAAAAATCTAACCAGTATTAACTATATAAAATGATGTTATATCATGAGGCTTAAAATTAATATTATGTACATGTATATACACATATACGCACAGTATACACACATGCATTATACATTTATATACATGCAAATGTATATTTTGCACACACACACAAATTCATATGTATATATAACCCCCCCAAAAATTGCATTTAATTCAGGAGGAAAACAACTGGAGCTAAAGTATTTTAAGATTTCTGTATTACGTGTAAAGAGGTA